CATATCTCTAAGCTTTGAGTGGGCGCCCTGCGCCAGTGTGAATTCCCATCTGTTTGCATGTATGTGAAGTGGAAGTGGAAGCGAGTCTGATTGCAGTAGCAGCAGTAGTAGTATAAAAAGGAGGAGACAAGAAGAGGAAGAGGAGATGGTGTACAAGAAACCTCACACAGAGTAGTCAGTGGAGGGGAGGAGAGTCCTTGCCTTACAAAATGGAAGAACAACAAGACAATGGCCCCCCCCCTCCCCCCCCCAAAGCCGCCACCTTTCAGCTAGAAGGGGGTGGTATGAGCACCTCCGCCTGGTGGCCCGGTGAGGTGCTCTGATCAATTGGTGGGGAGCAGCACTTGCTGGAAACCGGGTCCTGCGTCCTAAGATACATCGTTGAGGTGCTCCGGTCTATTGGTGGGGAGCAGCACTTGCTGGAAACCGGGTCCAGCGTCGTAAGATACAGCCAGCACAACAACTCTGTACTGCAAATCTTATGAAAGATGGCATGACTTCCGTCCTGCTGAAGAAAAATGAGACCCTGACCATCTCTTCAGCTGTTTCCAGCCGCCTATTAGGAAAATATACAACAAGACAATGAGTGCAGAAAGGATAAAGAAAAGTGAACCAGCTGGCCTAGCTCAGTTGGTACACCCATGAGCTGTTGGTACACAGGCCTGAGTTTGAATCTGGGTGGAATCGGATGAGTGAAAACGACTCTGGATTCATCTGAATTTACCCGGGGCCGGTAAACAAAAAAAAAAAAAAAGGAAACGCGGGGCTACACGGATATCATGTTCGTGGTGTCTGCGTACCCACACTCGTAACTGGGTGGGACTTTTCAGCAACGGCCCCAGTTGGTCGGTCTCGTACGTGAGGCCCCAGTTTCTGCACAGATATGTATTACACATATTATGCAGATGTGGCTCCAATTACCCACTCTCGTAAGTGAGGCAGGGGGGAGATGCTGCTGTGAGGGACTTTTCAGCGATAATGTGATAAGCAATAATGTGAGTTGATTGATAAATGGGCTTCTTCACCGGCACTTGAGGCATGGCATGGAAAGAGGATTATATGCATCAGCCGGAGAGAGAATGACAACAGACAGTTATGTGCAAGATTAGAAGCCTGCTCTCCTGCTCAAACGTCACGCAGCCAAACAGCATCACACGAGGAGCCGGTTCAAAGCTCTGTACCGGTTTCCAACTGTCAGAGAAATCCAAAGCCGCTCATTGGCAGGGCATATATATTATTATATTGTCAAAACACCCGATCCCATCCCGACTCTGATCTGTGAAATTGTCTTATGCCATATCTACTGAATCGTACTGATTTATTTTGGGAGACATGGTTCGAGCCCAGACCTATGACTCAATTTCTTGAGCAAAGAATACAGGCCTAGGGAATTCAAAAATGAAAATGCGGTAGGTCTGTATTTTAACTCATCTGCTTCCAGTGGAGTTCGAACTCAGGACCTGGTCTGTATTTTAACGTAACAGTTCAGGGGTGTAGTACCAACTGAGTGAGGCCTGTTGGTGAGGCCAAGGGTGCCTGAAATGGTGCATTTTGCAAAACAAACGAGGGAAAAGGGCAGACAGCGTGAGGCATACCGAAACCGCCCTTTTTGCCTGCTTCTGTGAAGTGTATTTTTTTTTTTTTTTTGACCATTTCTCGATTTATGTGTGTCATCCTTGCGCAGGGGCCATGCTAATCTTCACTCTTTGTATCATTCCAATTTTAACAGACGTCCCAAAGGACAAGTGTGAAGTGCTTTCTTTCTTTCTTTCTTTCTTTCTTTCTTTCTTTCGTTTTTCTTTTTTCTTTTTGTAATGAAAAGGGGGCAACCTTTCCATTACAAATCCGGTTGGAACCGGGTGCTCCGGGCAGGTTCATACCGAGGATTTCTTTTGACTTTTGTCATGGTTTCTCTTGTATTCCTTCTTCAGCTCTCCCTTTACTGTGCCTCTCAGGTGCTGAAGAAGGAATAAAAGAAAAGAGAGGCTGTGGCTGTGCCTCTCTTTTATTCCTTCTTCAGCACCTGAGAGGACTTATTTTGGCTTGTTGTAGTTGAGCAGTTGCTGCCCAGCTTCATACCGGGCAGCAAGCGCTCGTCATGTTGTGTTGAGCGCTTGCTGCCCACACCCCTCTCTGCCATCATGGCGCAGTCACCTGTTGTAAAAAAGAGGCAAAGGGGAGACGGGTTAAGGCACGACACAAACAGAAAAGGCGGAGCAAAGGAAGACAGAGGGACGGAAAGCAGTGTGGAATAGCGCTTACACTAATGGAAATAATAAGTGAAGATTTTCGAGTCAGTTTGTCCTCGATGATAAGGGGACGGGCACGGTAGGGTGGGATGAGAGATGATGGGTCACATGGAAGACCTAGCTGCTGACAGTACTCAGCACAACAGAACTGCTGCCACTGTGGCTAGCATTGAGCATGCCTATCAAATGCTCCAAGCAAATGGGATGTCGATTGCAGGCCAGGAGGAAGGAACAACAGGCATCGCAGAAGACCATGCATTCGTCATAACGTCCCTGGCTGCAAGATGGACCTATTATGTCCGTATGTGGACAGTGTGTGCAGTCAAGTGAGAGGACGGACGCCCTCTGCACGCATGGCTGTATAAACCCTGGCATTGTAGTGAGGCTGGCAGAGAGAACGACGCCTGCAGCCAAGTGCAAGGGTAGCTGTGAAGAGGAGAAGGTCGCAGAGTGGAGACAGATCATTGTGCTGCTGCCACACAGCGGCGCGGAAGTGTCCCTCAAGCGGCTTCACTCTCATCCCAGATCACTTGACCTATTGATTAAGTGGTCTACCTCTTTGGTGGAGGAGGTTCATAGGTTCAATTCCTCTTTTTTTTTTTTTTTTTTTTTTTTTTTTTTTGAGCTGGAAAATATAAAAATTCCCTTGCCTCATGCCATAACACAGCGGTTCCTAGGTCATAGGTTCGATTCCTAATGGATTGATCTTGGATTTCTTGTGTTTGTGAGCAAGCAGGGAAAAGTGATCCCAACATAAAGGAGTGCGCGGAGGGAGACCAGGTCCAATCCAGCCGTTCCACTCTGACGCCTGCCAACAATTCAAGTAACACCAGGTCCAGTCTAAGATCTGCCAAGCGTGGCATCAGGTCCAATCCAGCTGGGTCCATTCTGAGGTCTGCCTTCTTTCAGGCATAGACCATAGATATCGGAGGTCCATTCAGCTGGTGCAGTCTGAGATCTGCCGACGTTCAAGCATAGACCATAGACCAAGTCCAATCGAGCTGGGGTACAGTCTGATATCGACCAACGTTCAAGCGTAACCAGGTGCAATCCAGCTAATCCGATGTCTTCCAGCGACCAAGGAATTGAACCAGGTCCAATCTGAGCTCTGCCAACAATCCAACCATGAGACCAGGTCCAATCTGAGATCTTCCGACTATCCAAGCATTACGCCAGGTCCAACTCAGCCGGTTCATCCTGAGATCGGTCAACAGGGGTGTTTCTTCTGTTGGATTCCTTGTATGGCGTAAGTGATACGCCGTCATTTATCGCCTCATTGATGACTGTAGCGGACCCACCAGGTGTGGTGCTCCGCTAGTGATAGAGATGGAGATGGAGGAAGAAAGGGGGGAGCGAGATGGCACAACGCAGCTCCCCACGCAAGACTCGCACGTACTCCAAAATGTGCAAGTGAAGAATGAGGACGAAACAGACAACTGCTGGGGTATACCCCAACGGACTGACTGGACTGGACTGGACTGGCTGGTACCGACAGAGGTACCGGCCTGGACTGGACTGGACTGCCCCCGAATAGAACACAGGCATGTGAGAACAGGCCAAGGGGCTGGTCTCACAGGCCAACCAGAGGTCCTCCACACGATCCTCAGCCTGTGATGGATCGCCTAAATGCAAACACGCTTCCGCCAAGAAGCGGAACTCTACCAAAGAAAAGGAAAACCTGAGTAGTCTAGGATGCGGAGCAAGCTCCATGCTGAGTCCATGCGATGCAACCTAGGATAGAAAATGTCACAAAACGGCAATGTCACAGCTAACAGCCTAAGTGAAAACAAAAACAACTAACTAGCATACATGTCCTAGGAAAGCAAAAGCAACTAACTAGCATACATGTCCTAGGAAAGCAGAAAATAGTGACAACTAGATCGTAGAATGTTGGAGGCAGTAGCCTGAGTCTGGGAACAACTGACTAGTGTATAAGTCCTAAGAGCAGCAAAAGCAGAACAACTAAATCCTAGAAATGTCAGAGGCAGTAGCCTCAGTCTGAGAGCAACAAAGCAACAACAAGTCAACCATATGTCACAGGAGAAGTGTGTCGCAAACCAAAGGGTGGGATGGTCTCTGAGGGTGGCGAATGCAGCCTAGGGGTCGAAAACTCCTAAGGGCATCCACACATAGTGACAGGGGGAAACACATGTCATTAGGCTCAATGAGGGTAGGGAACTGGGAGCGAACAGAACCAATGAC